TTCAGAGCATAAACAGTTCTTGGTTCTTGAGCCAAGAGACAAGGAGGGTTCTGGGAAATGGAGGGACTCGCCTAGGGCTGCAGAAAGCTGGATGTCGGGGGCAGAGCAAAGGGTCAGCCTGCATCCCACACACTTCTGGTCAGCCCATGAGAGCTATATGTTTAGCAGTTCTTTGGCAAGTGGTCAAATGTAGGCTCCTTTTGAATCCTTGCCATGGAATCACCATGGCGTCCGGCTTCTCCTTCTCCACTTTCCTCCAGCCTCAGAGGTGAGTCAGTCCTTGAATGTCCCCATTTTATTGTTCTGTGGATAAGGATTCCTAGAGAAATTCTTCCTCCCTCCCTGGAGAGCCAGGTCTCCATCTGTCGGTCTCTGGCCTACTTTGGAGACTGAAAGGAATGGGATACATTTTATTTTTAAATAGTTTCTTAAAGCACATCCTCTGGTTAATGCGATGTCCTTCAATTCGGGGAAGATGCATGTCATCCTTGAGTAACCTTTGGGATCGTACGCGAACACCCCTCTCTGTAAGGCAGCCATCTCCTTTCTACTGGCCTGCCTTCCCTTACCCCATCATCTTTGGTCACCTGCTACCCGTAGCTTTCCTTCCCCTTCTCTTCTTTGCTGGTGTTTGTTTTGAAGATTTTCACCATCAGCGTAGGAACTGAAAGTGGGCTGAGTTTTAATGAACCTGTCATAATCTTACTAAAAAAAAAAAAAAAGTCTTGCAAACAGCTGAATGCTGGGTGAATGACAGCTTCCGGCACCTAGATGATGGATGGACAGAGCGGTTGGGGATGAACCCATCTCTGTACGAGGCTGTGGGACGTGCCCTTTAATTCTGAATGCTTATGGCGAGGGCCCTGAGCCGGGGGCCGCCTGGTCATCTGCAGCTGCCGGGGTCTAGCAGTTCTGTGACGATGGAATTAAGTTGTGCACAGCTCCCGTAAGAAGGGAGGGGAGCGGGTGGGAGATGGTGAGCAGATCTTCTCTAATCTTTTAGGCCCTGTGGGCTTTGTGCTAGCAGACTGGGAAGGAAAACCAAGAAGAGGACGGAGGAAGCTGGCTGGCTATTTCCAGGAGAATGTCTACCGTGCAAGAGAGTTCTAGGAATTAATGAAGATAATGCATAGGAAAGGGTCTGCTCCGATGCCTGGTGGATGCAGCTGAACTTGATCAATGGGGCCGAATCTAAATTACTTGAAAACAGTTGCTCAGCCAGGCTGTGGTCAGGAAGAGAAATAAACACGTTACAACTACAATCCTAATGTACTTTGGTCTATCAGGCTCTTGGAACTCCACTACCAGAGGGGAGCCTCACAAAGGGCTGGGGGTGGGGGTGGGGGGGCTTATCATTCTCCATTCACAGAGAGAAACCCAAGCTCAGAGAGCTGGAGTAGCTGTCCAAAAGGAACAAAGCCAAAAAGTGATAAAGTTACCTCTTGAAGGCAGATTTTTCAACTTAAACATCTTATGCTTCCTCCCCACCCCCCGGGGATTTTTAAAGTAAAACACAGTCAGGAAGCTGATATATGAAGTAAAATCAGCACTTTTTCTAAAATAATATGAAAAGGCAACCTTTTCCAGATAGGGGAGAAAGAGGAGAAAAAGTGCTAAGTGGCTGCATTATATTTAAGGAAAAGCAAAAAAGGTTACTTTTGTTTTTTCTGACCTGAGGGCTTTGAAGACCTTTGCAAACCTCAAAGAACCACCATTTTTATTTTATTTATTTATTTTTTTTAAAAGATTTTATTTATTTATTTGACAGAGAGAGACACAGCGAGAGAGGGAACACAAGCAGGGGGAGTGGGAGAGGGAGAAGCAGGCTTCCCGCCGAGCAGGGAGCCCCATGCGGGACTCGATCCCAGGACCCCGGGACCATGACCTGAGCCGAAGGCAGTCGCTTAACCAACTGAGCCACCCAGGCGCCCCAGAACCACCATTTTTAAAGCAGAGAATGGATTCCATTCCCTGAGAGGATAGGTGGCAGGAAAAACCCAAGAGGACAGAGACTGAGATGTACTGTGCCCTTGTTTTGTGCCAGTAAAAGCTAGCTTGTTGACCTAGTTACCTTGGCCATGCCCCCATCCCAGGCACTATTATCCTATTGTACAAGGGAGAGAACTAAGGTTCACTCAAGAAGGTGAACCATCTTGGCCAGATCTACGTGGACATTTAGTAGCCGAATTGTGATTCCAGTGTGGATCTGCCACCTTTTGCCCACACCAAGCTGAAGGCTCAGCACGGGGCTTTGCTGGAGATACCCCCTTCGGAGGCCTGCTCCGTGCAGGGATTTAGGGCAAGCGGGCTCCCTCCCCGCAGAGTCCTCAATTTCCATGAGAATCTAAGAGCTGCATGACTCATGCACTGATGTGTGCTACAATTCTGAGTCTTAAAATAACAAATCCCCATCACGAAAGCCAATGCATTCTGATTTCGCATAAATCCTTTTATAATGATCACTTGGTGTCACCGGCTTATTTAAATGGACACATCATTTCTTTCAGGGCTTTCCTCATCTGCTCTGCACTTTAAGTACAAGCAAGCAGGGAAGTAACTCACTGCCTTTGGCATCGCGAGTAGAAGCTGGAGGTGGTCTGGATCCTTGTCTGTCTCCTGACCTCACGCTGAGTCAAATGGGAGAGGCAGGAGGGGATGTGTCATTTTTGTCATAATAAATCCCCCATGTGCCCCATTTTTCTTCTCCCCGCAAACCCAGATTGATGACCAGTGCGTTTTGGTTTTCACGGATAACCATGACCCTCGAGGACCGTGTCCTCGAGACACTGCAGTATATCTCTATGTGACGTTGTCTATTATTCCGGGAGGAAGACAGAGACTCAGCACACACCACGGTTTACCTGAGATTTCCCTTCTCCCACCCAACAAACATGGGGGTCACCAACTTTACAAAAGCCTAGAGGAATGTGTTGGGAATCCAGGCTTTGACAAAAGATCAACATGGCATGATAATTCGCTGACCAAAGGAAAGTACGGGAGGCAGCGGCGGGGGGGAGACACATCTGACTGGCCCCACAGTGGGTTCCTAAAGGTCTAGCCTCAAAGGCACTGAGAAAGCCCCTGGGAAGGTTTGCTGGGAGGGGAAACAGAGTGCCACCTTTCAGAGGAGACCCTTCTGCTCCAGAAACATCCCGGAGGCTTTCTTAGGCGGCCAAATCTTAGGCCCCTCTCCAGATGCTTCAAAGACAGAGCCTGGGATTCTGTGACAGTTTCTTGATCCTGAAGCCATTTTAGTTCAAGGTAGGAAGGTTAGTCGTTAACAAGGCATCCTCCTTACTGATCAGACTCTAGAGCCTCAATCTCTCTCAGCGTGAGTTTCCGGTGTGCAAAGCAGAGATAAGAATAGCACCTGCCTGGTGGGTTAGTGTGAGGATCAAATAAGATTAACATCTGGAAAGTACCCAGTGCATACTCGGCGGAGATGCAGAGACACTGCCTTAGCCATTATCAAAATACTTCTAAACCAGCTAATGGAGAGCCGCTGCTCAGAGCGGCCTGGCTCCTCTGGGGGGTTCCTCAGACTTCCTCACCATCCAGCAACTCAGGGGTTAGTGCCCAGTACAGCTGGGGGCCCTGGGGGTAGCCTCCAGGAGGTGTGGGAAAGGCTGCTGGCGAAAATTCTTCCACTGCAACCCTTCCGGGCTGTGATGCCTGGAAGGTGTCACAGGAAAAAATTACACAGAGTGAGGCATGCCTGGATGTTCTGGCAAACGTCAGCTAAGGAATGCCCCCATCTCAAAGGGTGGCCTTCACAGCGCTCCCTGACTGGCATCTCTATGGCTCCTCAGGACATTGACTCCGAACCTTTCTTTCCTTGTCCTCCTCCAGCTTGGACCTCACTATGACCCCATCTCTGAACTCTCACCTCTGGAAGCTTGACTATCTTCTGTTTTCCTTTGGCCTCTGGGGCCCCTGTATTTGTACCTGACCTCTCTTAGAGTCTGACCCTCAGCTCTCGGAGTTGACTTTTTGGCTCTTCCCCCTACAGCCTGGCCTTAGTCTCCAAGACCCTCTGGGTGGCACCGTCCCCAGACACCCACCCCACCCTAGTGCAGCTGGTCTCAGATGCCAGGTCCTGGTCCTTCTGGGCCTGACCAAACCTACTGCTCCCTGAGTTCCAAGTTCTGGTCCCGACAGAGGTCGCACGTCTGCGTCCTTTGAGAACAGGGTGCCAAAGAAATGGCAAAGAGGATGAAGGGGGAAGGGCAGAAGGATCCAGAAGCACGGCGACAACCAGACGTTGGCAGGCCTGAGCTTAAGGAGAGGGAGGCTGCTCTAGTTCCTTATCGATACACTCTGTGAGTTCATGGGCTGTATGTGGCCCACCTGGCCCAGGGTCTAGGACACCCCGGCTACTCCAGACACAGTTGTTGAGTACAGAATAAATGAATGAATGAATGAATGATACCATTAACAGAGATGCTTTCGCCACTGAGATAATTAGCAGAAATTCTGTCACTTCTGACCAGAAACTTTCAGAATCAATAGGATATCTGCTACTTTACTCCCTGTACAAGAAGTATGAATCCAGACGAATCCTGAATGCCTATGGTGAGCACAGATCCAGCAGGCCTCACACGGACATGGAATGTGAGGAAAATAAACTTCTGTCATGCTGAGAAGCTGACACGCTGGGGTTCTTTGTCACTACAGAATGATCTCTCTATCATTAGAGCCAAGGAACCTACAGATCATAGTCCTAAAAAAGCCCAATGGGATCTAGGTCTGGAGGTTAGTCAGAAGAGGGGCTTTTTGGTGATATTACCACAGACAGCCAAGGTCTGATAGGTACTGTGCCTGCAGAGCTGCAGCTCTAAGAAAGGACTGGAAGGTCAACTGCGTAGGTACCGTCCACTGCAGCATTCAGGCAGCCAGGTGGCCTCCTCCTGTGCTTTGCCTGCCTCCTCCCTCAGAGAAGGAGCTCTGAGCCCTCACATCACCTTCCGAAACGCCCGCCACGCGCCACCCTCACGATTTACCTGTGTTGTAGCCCCTTCCGAGGGCAGGCCAAGGGCGGTGATTTTTCCACAGGTTTCCCAGGTACCAGTCACTCTGGTTCTCGACCAAGCCCAGGACCTGCTGACCTGTAAAGTACAGAGAAAGCAAAGGTCTTAGAAGAAGCCAGGCCACGTGCAACAGTGAGAACCGAACAGGAGATCCAGTCATGGCGGATCATCACAACAGTGGCTTTCATTAGTAAGCGCCGGGCCCCGATCTGCGTGCTTCACTTGTATTAACGTATTTACCGCTCACTTTGCCAGCCCCACCATTTGGAGGGCGCCCAGAGTAGCTAATTAACTTGTCCAAGGTCACCCAGTTACTCTGTGATCAAGCCAGAATCCCAAATCAACCAGCCAACCATCGGTCCAACCATCCCTTAACTCATGCACCACCTCTGTGCTTACTGGCACACCTGAAGGGTTCCAGCTGCAATATTCCCCCCACGGTATGCTAGGTCACTGGCTTTCTGGGCATCCGCTGAGATCATCTGCTGCCATCAGAGGGAAGACGTGCCCTTGGTGTGGGAGATGGAAGTGCACAGACAAGAGCCCCCTTTGGGCTGCAGACCCCCCAGTGTTTTTCCTCTCACATCCACTTTATCTTGAGTCGACAAGCCATGGTGTCCCGTCAACGTGGGAATGTTTTCTAGAGGAGCAACTGCTTCTCTGGCCCAGCTCTCGGCTCTGATGTTGGCCCCATGTCTGGTGCACCCGGGCCAACAGCAGAGGTAAGCCAGGCCTCTTAGTAACTCAGCATCTTAGGTGAGTCGGTCACTCCTCTCCAGTTCTTAGAGCATCCCATTCCTGGGACTCCAGGCCTCCTACGGGGAGCAAGCAGGGCATCAGATCCCTCTACGAGACAACCCTATCACGCCACTTGCAGCAGATACTCCCTTGGACCTACGATCAACTATTTTATAGACCAGGAAACTAAGGTTCACCAGGACCGTGATATGCACAACTATGGTGGAGCCGACACATAATTCAGCATTTGTCTGATGCCCAGATTCGTTCTGCTGTCTCGGTGCAGTCTTGCTTACCTTTACAACAAGTGTTGGAGGCAGAAATTAAAAACCCACATTATAGGCAAAGAAACTGAGGCGTGGACAGTTTTAACTTGCTAAGGGTCCCACGACTCATAATCACTGTCTTCCACAGCTAACCGATGCCCTCTGGGGCTAAAATCTTTATTTTATCGGCCAATCTAAGAAATACAGACCTTTCTGACCAAATGAAAGCCCATCAACATGTTAAGAAAAACACAGCGGTTCTCCCGGTACACCACGCTGTGTGATATAGAACCTCCCTGGTGTGATGACAGCCCCCTGAAATGATGGTGTGTTGGTTTGGTGTAATTTATTTGATCATTTTATCGAGCTCCTATCTAAATCATCACCCCAGCACAAATACATAAATTAGAGGCATGGGAAAAATACTACCACCCACTTTGTCATTGTGTATGATCACATCCAAAACTTGGTAGAATCCTTCAGAAAAACCCATCACCAATTCAGGAAGGGCAAGAGCTGATCAATTCCACCCGCAACAAGCTCGGGATGCTCATATAAAACTGAAAGCTGAGATCTGAAAGGCAGGTTGTCCTCCGCTGAGAAAGCTGTGTGCTGCGTCTGGATGCTGGGACCTCATTCGAGAGCTCACGTGATGACCTCGCATGGAGGCTGGGAGGGTGGGGTGGGGCCGAGGGGCTGCAGAGTCCTTGGGGGAGCTGGTTCAGTTACCAATGACCCCAGGTTCGGTATAATGAAGGGTGTCACGTGCTCAGAAATGACAAAAGGGGAATGCTCTTTCACTGAATTTAGGGTGGCCACCTGAGTTTCAGGTAAGGTCATCTTCAGCTACCTTTAAGTCTAAATTCTGTGCTCTGTCATTCCATGCGTTGTGTTTGGCCCCGATCTACTTCCTCAGAAGCTTTCTCTACGTAGCCACACTTCATTCCTGCCACATGAAAATGTACAGTTTTGTTGCTTGCGTTCTCCCTTCTGGCTCCTGCTCATACAGCTCTTGCTTGATGGGAAATGCTCTTACCCTCGGCCAACCCCTGCCTGGAATCCCTTCCAACGCATCTCCAGCCTGAAGCCAGCTATGAACACCCCTGAGTGTGAACCCTTCCCTTGGCTCGCCCATGAGATGGGAGACAGCTCTACCTAGCATTTCCAGCGCTTTTTGACTTATGCCCTGTCAAGGACAGATGGGTGACATGCAGGCACATCCACACCTCATGTGTAAATATCCACAGTCCAAGGGCAAGGACTGAGTAGTGTCCAACACACTAACGGGTGCTGATAAATGTCTGCTAAGTAAAACTCTCCTGACTGGGAGCCCCGTTAATGTTAGTGTATTAGTATCCCCACATTTTCAAAGCTGCAGAGCATTCTGCCTTCCCCTCATTCACCAAGACCCACACATTCTCCCAGAATTCTTATTTAGAAGTGTTGAGGCATGAGAGAATTAATAGAGCATATGAACCCCACATTCCCAGATACTGAACCAATTTCGGGGTAAAAAAAAGGTGAGGGCAAAATGTCACCTTATTGTTGCAAGTTAAAGGACTCAGTGTAGATATTCATCATGCCAAAACCCTGACCACTGTTCGATAAAGTTCTAGAAGGACCTAACTGTTGTGCTAGATGATGTCCAAAGAAACACTCATGGGTGGGCTTGCTCTCTTTCCAAAGCTTCCAGGAGAGCCTGGATGATGCTAGTTAAAAACAGCTCTCACATAGCACTCGATACATTCCAGCCCCTGACGCACCCAACGGGTCAGGGTCTTCACAAGCCCACTTGTAAAACCCAGCTACCATTTTAATCATCAACAGAGCAGCTAATGGATCTGTCTAAAAAAAGCAAAACAAAGGCTTAGGAGCTGTTTATTATTTTGCATTTTCTCAACCAATGGATATTAAAATTACCGCTATCTTGTTGCTAATGAAGGATTTTTTTTTTTTTCTTTTTTAAACTTTAAAGAGGGCTGGCGTATGTAGAAGAGTTGTTTGCAACCATCGTGAGCAATGCAGCCCAGGTGCAAATTGAGAGCAGGGGAATTTGGAGAACATGCCTTGAGGTTCACCGTGCATCTCACTCCTCCTCTGGAGACCTAGACCTTGAGTTCAAGCCTTCAGCAGAGCAGTGGGCCTACCGGTGTGTCTGGGCACTGTCACCCCACCTCTGCAGTTTCCCGTAAGGGTGAGGAAGACGCCAGACTTGCCAGACAGAGCTGAGTGGGAGGAGGTGTCGATCTTGGTGAACGAGGGGAGAGCAAAATGCTCTTTCCGAAGCTTCCAGGTGAGTCTGGATGATGCTAGTTTAAAACAGCTATCACTTATATAGCAGTCGATACCTTCCAGCCCCTGGCGCGCCAAACAGAATTCTAGCCATTGGGTCTAGTCATGTGCATCACAAAAGAACCAGATAATTGGAAAGCATGTTGAACTCGGAGAATTATTGATCAGGTCTGGAAGCTCTGTCCGTGCTTTAGTCGGGGGTGAGCCTCGCTTGTGGGGTCCCTAGCACAAAATAAGCTCTTATGGCATCTAAATCTTGCCCATAGACCAGCACAATTCAGTGCAGCCTCCAGCATTATGCTTCTTGAGGACAGAGAAGTGGTGAAGAAAAGGAATGCCAGAGCCAGACTGCCCAGGTTCAGATCCTGGCTCCTCCACTCATGAGCTGTGTGACCTCAAACGAGTTACCTAACCTCTCGGTGCTGTTACTTCCTTCACTTATAAAGGGAAGTTAATTCATAGGATATACCTTAGAATTTTATTTTCCCTTGAGGCACAAGTTGATTTTGTGTTTTTTACTTCTCCAAATGTTACCACTAACAATGCCTGGAAAACCAGTAAAATGTTGAGTAGGTATTTGCTCTTTTGCTCTTATTCTCACACCCAGGATTCCCTGGTCCCTCTCTGTCCCACCTGGTGGCTTCAGCCATCTCCCCTGCTCCTTCCTTAGCTGACCCGGGCCTTATTCTGCCTAGACATTGCTTTAGTTTCGTATTGGCTGAGGGTTTGCTGTATTAGAGACCACACAACAGACTAAGGAATCAAAGACAAATTAAACACGGTCGTTAACCCCAGAGGCAGCTAGAAGAGGAGGCAGATAAACAATTATGAAGCAGAATGGTACTCGCGGCAGCAGAAACACTGATAAGCGGGAGGAACGGAGGGCAGGGGATCATTGATTCTGTGGGGGATGGTGGGGGATGCAGGCTGGGCGCCTCCCCGGGGTCGCCGGCTGCACGGCGGGCTCCACCTGCCCAGTCCACACACAGCCCTCCACACTCCCAGGCTTCCCCACATCACCCTTCTCGGCAGAGGCCCCGCTGCTCCCTGGTGACAGTCATCCTTTCCAGCTCTGCCAATCCCAGCTCATCAGCCAGGCAGCATCTGGTCCCCAGAGGTCAACGTCTAAAGCTTTAGCCTGGACGATGTGAGCCCAAGAGGCCTGCCATCCCATTAAGAGGTCAAGTCTCAGGGGACTCCTCTTTGCGGGGGGGGGGGGGGAGCGGGGGAGGACACAGGCTGCTGGTGTGAGGCCTCCCTCAGCACCCCGCACCGTCGCATCTTCTTAGGAGTCATTATAATAAAACACGGGACTAACAGAAAAGGCTTTGTCATTGTTTTCTGTGCGGCCCTGTGGTTATGATTAAGTGTGCTATTCCCCGTCTTCCTTACTCCAGGCACAAGTTAACTTATGAAAATGAAGCTGTCTTCTTTGCTTATTCATACATCACCACTAACAGCCAGACAAGAGCAAACAAACTTGCTATTCTGCTGGGGCCCTGATGTCAGTGCCACCAGCCAGCAGACGGATGGCTCCAGGCTGGGAACATCCCCTCGCTCCCTCCTTCCACAGCTTCGGGGCTCCAGGCAGGGCTCAGTCCAGGAGGTGAGGCCCCAGGAGCAGGGGGTGGTGATACTTCCACGGGGCACGAGGGGCACCGACAGGGCAGGCTGGGAGGGAAGCGGCATGGTAAATCAGAAAGGCGAAGGGACTGCAACCCAGGCTGAAGAGAGTTCTAGCCCTAGCTCCGTAGGGCTTGGCCAAGGTCTGACTTTTTCTGA